CCCCAAAACCCCAAAACCCCAAAACCCCAAAACCCCAGAAAGAAGTGCAATATTGAAATTTAAATTATTCTGAATCCTGTAATATTTTCTAAATATGTAAGTCTGGAAAGATTCGCCGAATCCACACCTTTATATGCCTAAATGGGTCCAAAACTATATAATTTTGTATAGAGAGAAGTTCAAAAATGGAGCCAACTTCAAGTGAGTATCCACAATACCAAGCGTATAAATTCAGGTAGGCCCAGACCGCTTCCCTCCTTCTCACATCTCTATAGTGAGAAAGATCAGCCTGATATCAATATTACCAACGATGACGCCCCCATAGACGCTGACGACAGGGAGGAAGATAAAGATACCTTCACCGTAAACACTTGTTACTCGAGAGTCGAGCGCCATCCAGTAAGAGATGTATGAAAAGCAATGGGGTGGAAGAACTCCATCAGTGAGACTAAAGGAGACCTCTTCTGGTTTATCGATGCCTGTAATCTCTCCCTCAGAAAGATGATGAGGGAGAAAACCTGCTACTACAACCGGTACCCCAGGATCAGTATAGTATGCTTGAAGCGTGATTTCCATATTCTGCTTAAATAAATATCAGACGTTTTTCCCAAAAGATTTTGACTTTATTCCAAAAACGTACATTCTTCCGGAGGATATTACAGCTTACAAACGTTACCTGGACACCCAAGATAATCCTATCCTGCTGGCGAAGCCTTCCAAAGGAAGAGGAGGAGAAGGCATCTTCTTTGTCAAACGGTATAAAGATTTAGATCAAGAAAGCATGAAAGACTACGAGTATGTTGCTCAGCACTACATTCCTAATCCCTTACTTATCGATAAGAAGAAGTTCGACTTCAGGCTCTATTTAATGATCAAAGGGGTCGAGAACATGACTGGTTACATCGCCTCTGAAGGAATGGTAAGGTTTTGCACTGAAGATTACACTGACCCCTTCCCCTGTGATGACTCTGATAGCAATGGCGAAGAGGAACTAATGGACAACGAGCTTAAGAAGAAAGATAACCTTGTTGGGCATCTCACCAATTTTTGCCTCAACAAAGAAAGCGAGAAGTACGTTAACAATGCCAACTTTAAGGATACAGATGAAGGGACCAAGAGGCTATTTACTAAAGTTCTTCAAGTGCTGGGAAAGATGGGTGTTGACCTGGGTAAATTCAAGGAAGACCTAAATGACATTTGTACCAAACTCGTGATTGCACTTAGACCTCACATTGTTAACAAATATCACCATGAGATTGGTTTAGAAGGGGAAGCTAATCAGAACTGATTCCATATTCTCGGAATTGACCTCATGATTGACGAAAATCATAAGCTATGGATCATCGAAATCAACTGTTTCCCGAGCTTCAACTACTTCATTACCAGAAATATAATCGATGAGACCACAAAGAAGAGAATCAAGATAAAGCAGGTGTCTGAAATCGATAAGTACATCAAAACCTTGATCATCAAGGAGGCTATCCAAGTCATTCGGGGTGAGTACGAGGAATCTGACAAAGTTTTCCAACAAATTTATCCTCCAAAAGACACAGAAAACTACAAAAACCTGAATATATATGATAACATTAGAAAAGTGTTCGAGAACTTGGCTTATCCCCAAAAGCCAGATTATATTAATCTCGATCAATTTGAGACGATCGGGCAGTACGGAGAGGAAATGAAGCACATTGGTCAAGAGGATTCAAAATCCCCAGAAGATGGTACTTATTCAAACCCAATAACAAATTTATTTGTAGGTCGCTCATTAACCAATGAGATCGGTGCAAGTGCTAAATTAGATGCGAAAATTCTTACAAAAACCCTCCTTAGAAACTACTTCAAAGATTATGCCAAAAGCGGCAAACAGACCCTAATGAATTTGAGTCAGTTCACAAAGGCAATCGATGCCTTGGCTACCACTCTGTACCCTGGCTACTTCACAAAGTATGAGAGGATGAGCAGAATAATGGAGGACCTGTTCCATATGCCTTAAATAGATTATTAACTAATTTTGGCTCTGAAGAATAAACTCTTATCAAGCTTGCTCGTTAGCCTCGGGGTTTTGGGGTTTTGGGGTTTTGGGGTTTTGGGGTTTTGGGG